AAAAAAAATATTGTATTATCTCCGATAAAAACTGTGCATACTAAAATATAATTTATATAATTTGAAAGATTTATTCCCCAATTATCCTGCGGACTGAAAAAAGTATTGTCGTTACCAACGCAAAACTATGATTAGAGCCAGCTACTGATCAGCTGGAATTGATATATAAAAAAGTGTGGAAAGTACAGGTAATGTGAAAATGTGTACATGCATACACTGTGCAACATAAATATTGGCCCCAAATTGGTACGAATATATGAGCATTACTCCCATTTATACATAAAGGTTCAAAAATAAAAGAAACACTTTATTGTTATTTATAAACTGAATAGGGATTTTCGCTAAATTGAAAACTGGACATATTTTTTTGTTAAAAAAATAGACATACTTTTATGGCAATTTAAAAAATATACATAAATTTTTGGACATTTATAAACTTGATATACATATGTATATTTTTGGTTATTTAAAAAGTGGACAAATTTTTGGTCGTACAGGGAATGGGCATTAATTAGAGATCTTAAAAAGACGGACATAATTTGTTAGTCATTTAAAAACTGGACATACATTTTTGGTCATTTAAAAACTGTACACAAATTTTTATAAATCTAGAAAATTTACAAAAAATATGTAAATTTAGAAAATTTACAAAAATTTGTTGTCTTTCAAAAGTTGAGCATGCATTTTTGGCAGCTTCAGAAATGCTCGTACATTTTCGGTAAATTAAAAACTGGACATAAGTTTTTGGTACGGTATATAAAAACTATACATATTTATGGTAAATTTAAAATTGAAAATAAATTTTGGGTCATTTAAGAAATAGACATATGTACTTAAATTTGTAAGCGTTTATAATCTGAATATCAATTCTTGGTAAATTAAAAGGTGGTTATAAATTTTTAGTCGTTCAAAATACGGACATACTTTTTTGGTAATTTGTACATGATTTTTTGGTAAAGTTAAAACTAGATTTACATTTTTGCTTTTAGAATGGAACACACATTTTTGGTATTTCAAAAAGTGGACAAACATTTTTCGTCATTTATGCAATTGAAAAAATTTTAAAAGTGCACATCAATGTTTAATCATTTCAAAGCTAGGGATTCGGTAATTTAAAAAGTGAAAAAAAAAATTTGTGGTAATATAAAAAATTAACATAAATTTGTGAGCACTTATGAACCGGCCATAAATTTTTAGCTATTAAAATGTAGACAAAATTTGTTTGTCAGTGAAAACGTTGGCCTAAAAATATTTGATAATTTAAAAGCGGAAACAAATTTTTGGTCATTTATAAAATTGAATAAAATTTTTTTGAATTTAAAAAATTAACATAGTTCCCAAAGTGGACATAAAATTTTGGTAATTTAAAAAATGGACATCAAATTTTCAGTGGGAGTCCATTGGCCAATTCAAAACTGGGCATAAATCTCTGGTCATAAGAAGTGGTTATGAATATAATAGGTATGGTTAATTATGTACATTGCACTAAAATTTCAGTTCCGATCTAAAAAAACCCACTTCATTTCAGCCCAAGGTGCTAGCGATCTCGACTGTATGCCGAAACACATCCTGAAACAGATGTGAAGCCGCCGTGATAATATCACGTGCTGATTCCAAGATGCCAAGGTTACCTCCAAGCTTGTCAATGAGTATTTGGCGGACTTCACTTAGGTATCGAAGGTATTGAAGTCGCCAACGGGCTGACAAATGGGAACGGAACTTATTAAATGGTAACACAACTGATTTAATTTTGTTAACGGGAGTTTACACGATTTGCGCACAGCAATTAAAAATACATACTTTGTTAAGATTTAATTACTGATATTCGCAGTTGTTACCCGTGTTTTGAGCACGAACGAAGTGCCACCTTTTATTTGTTTACAAATGGGAAATTATATGCTATGCATAACCAAATATGTAGTTAAAAATATCGGGGATTTTATTCAGAAGAAATCAATTTGTGGATTCAAGGTCAATTCCACCAAGACCGAAATGATACTATTCACGGGGAAATGTAAGATACCGTCTTTTCATCCCCCCTGTCTAAATGGTGTGGGACTTACACTCTCCAAAGAGGTTAAATATCTCGGTTAAATTCTCGGCAGGAATTGGACTGGAAACGAAACCTTACGAAACGATCCAGGAAAGCCCTCTACGCCTGTACACTGGATGTACACGGTGATTGTCCGACCCATCTTTTTCTATGGGATCACCGTATGGTGGCCGACTCTAGAAAAGTCCACTTACAGAGGCATATTGGACCGGCTACAAAGGGCTGCAACCATGTTCTTCACGGGTGCCCTACCCTCTACTCTCAGTAGGGCTCTGTAGGCTGCATTTAACCTTCTCCCTACCGACCTTTACGGTAGATATCAGGCCAGCTGCAACGCAATCAGAGTGAATGCAGCACGTACATGGAGAGACCTCTCAAAAATTTTGGGCACCATTCCAGCAACTCTACATAAGCTGGATTGCATCAATCCAAGTGTCTGTTTCTAAAACTACTCGCACTAAAATCCAGGGTCTATCGCTATCTTTACGAACGGGTCGAAGCTCGATAATAAATTTGGAAGCTCTATAGCTTAATAGCGGCGAAATTTTTCTACAATCCGCCGCTATTTATTCTGGCAGCCAAGCAGCGATTAAATGTTTAGAGTGGAGTAACACTTACTCAAAAGTGGAACCTTAAGCGAGCTTGCCACGAAAGTCACCATCAACGTGGTATGGCTACCCTATCACAGTGGATTACAGGGAAACTGCGCCCCAGACGAGTTTGTGAAGGGGGATCTGACCTACGCCCAGTAATTCTGCACACGATGCAGGCGTCCCCCTATCTTCACGCAAGCGCCGACTGAAATCTATTTTCATTGAACTGGTCAATGAACGATGGGCGAAAGAACCAACATGTTCCGTTACAAAACAGATCCGGCCATATATTAATGAGCAAAAATCCAAAACTCTTATACAAATCGATCGCCCCATTATTAGCATACTCGTCGGTATAATTACAGGACACTGCCTGATAGGAGTGCATGCTAGGCGAATGGGTTACTAACGATTTATGTCGTGCCTGCAGGGGCGAAGAGGAGGCGGAGAGTGTAGAAAACTATCTCTGCCACTGCTACGCTCTGGCAAGGTCAAGACTTGCTATTTTTAATTAACAAGTTTTTCGGTGTTTAGCTGACCTCGACTCTGTAGATGTTGCTTGGGTCTGGTATCGAACTCAGGTCCTACGGAGTGGTAGTACGCACCTCTAACTACTCAGCTAAAGTGGCCGCTCAATTTATATCGACCATATTACCGGTGTCAATAATGATAGCGAAATCGATAACATATTATCTAATAGTAGTCAATGCATATCGATAAATTTCCAATTCGTGTATTGATAAAAACGCAATGAATGAAATTAGCACACTTTTCCGATATTTTTTTCGATAAATATATTGTACAAATATTGATAATTTCTTAAGTATAGCATGGCGATTTATATATCGATAAAAGTATCGATATGAATTATTTTAGTTATAACATAATAATTGATGCAATAATAATATCGATAGCAGTATCAATAATATATTGATAATAACACTGGTCTACAAGGGTTTTGCGAATAAGACGGGACCTGGTGTTTCCGAAGGGATTTTTCGTGCTGAACACGAATCTGGGGTCCAAAACTTCCCATCACGTCACGTTTTCGAGAAAAAAGGGGTTGAAACCCCTAAAAACAGCGTTTTTGGACAGCGAACGAATTCGTTGGAATAATTTCAATTTTTAAATTTATTATGCCGGAAGATTTACAATTGTTACGCGCTACTCCCATAAGAAACAGGGTAAACATACCGCCTATTTGACCAAGTTGCGGATACATATATGTGTGTATAATACGATGGACAATCCATGGTGCCGCAGCTTAATTTGCGTTAAACACACATATATATATTAGCACAGATTTTTTATAATTCTGATGAGGGTGCAATATTAGCACCGAAAGCTAAAGAAATAAATTGACATAATACTTATCAATTTGGCTCGTAGATATCGTCTTTGGTTTCATCTTCAAATACAATTAAGATATTTTTTATAAAGAAGACAATAAAAATAATTAATATAACACAAAATACCATAACATAACATGAAATATGAAAAAAATTGCTCTTCCTTGTGAACTCCATTTACAAAGCAAACATTCATTATTTAATTCTTTATTTTGACATTTACTTTGCTTAACTTCACTTAATTTACGCATTAATTCATGCTCAAGCCGCGTTATCAAAGTCTTGACTGAAAATTTGCATTTTTATTATTCTAATTTGTATTTGTATTTGTTCAGGCTTTAATTCGCAAATGCGCGCACACATTGTACATACATATGTAAATAAATATACATATTATTGTTTATTATTTCATTATTATTTAACGTATACCGGTATTGACCGTAGGTCAAGTCTTTAGCCATAAATGCTCTGAAGTCATTAAGAGGGAGCTGAACTGAGGAGAGCACTCGTATTTACGGTGTTTTAGTATTGAAATGGCAACCACGCGTTAATTATAAAATCAGCTGAAGGCTGGGATTCACTGCCCATCAAAAGCACAACAACAATGGTACGTAAGTGCATATCGCAACGTGAATTTTACATACAAACATATTTACTTGCTTCACACTTTACATATAGAATTTATTTCTACATACAGACATACATATGTACATCTATGTGCATATACTAAACAGTTGGCAATTTGTGCCCTCATCTGTACTATAAAAGCTCTGCTTGCTAGGGCTTGCCTGTATTCAGTAGCAAAACGTCAGTCAAACGCATTCACCAATTAAGTCCGGTTTTTAAATTAAAACAAAAAATTAATAATCACCAAACAACATGAACTACATACTCTTTGTATTCAGTATTATCGTTTTGTTGTTGTGCGCCAATGTACAGGCCGTCGACAAGTAGGGTTAGTAAATACCAATTAATTGTCATACAAATTAAGAGCTTTTAAAATTCTATTAACAAAGTGAAAACACGTTTATTCTAATTATTATTCTAATTCATTTCACTTTTTATTCGCATTCACTTTTAATATTTTTTTTTCCTTTTTCAGCTTGCTCACAGCCACAAGAAGTCGGTCCCTGCCGCAAAGCTGATCCGAAATTCTCCTACAACAGCGAGAAGAAGGCTTGTGAGCAATTCTTCTATGGTGGCTGTCAAGGAAATGATAATCGCTTTGACTCCAAGGAAGAGTGTGAGAAAAATTCCTTTAAGTGATGCGATCAAGTTTTATTGATAAATTTATCGTCGTTGGATTGGTGTAGAGGCAAATAATTGTTGATGGTTTTTGTAAATATGTATTGTACTTACGAAAATGTATTTGTTAAAAAAAA